GGAAGGAAGGAAGGAAGGAAGGAAGGAAGGAAGGAAGGAAGATTTCTGACATTCCCTGCCAACTTCCCACAAGCAAAGTCAATGGGGAAGCTGGCAGCAAGTTGTAAGTTGCTCACATTCCCACTGCTTTTTTGCCCTTCGTCATTCTGTTTCTCTGTTTAGGTAAGCAAGTATTTCTGAAATGATGACCCAACAGGTCACGGATTGTCTAGTGTAATATAGTATTTCACTGATACCTGCAGGATCAATTTCAAAACATAACACTAGGAAACTGTAGCTGGTCTTGATAGTGCATATGGTTAGAGTCTACAATGTCCCAACATATTTTTCATGCTCTTTAATTTCTCTGTCAAGCTGCTGGATGAAGACATTTGGACAAGGTGCCTTCAAGATGTTGATGAAACCAAGCTTTCTCTTTTGTCCTCAGCTTCAGCAATCCGAGTACACTAATGAGCTAGATGAGGGCCAATAAACTGAACTGAATTTTGATGAAATGGGGCTCAACGATTGGTAGTTTCTGGAGATGAGAAAGTGGCATACAACCTGTTCTAGATGGGGCTGAATTTAAACAAAAACTTGAACAGGGTTTACTGGACTCTAATGTAACGTGATCTCAAAAAATGGGAGAAGCATCAATTAATAATTCACCCAGGCATAGGTTGAATTAAATTATATATATTTTTGTAGCAATTATTCAGGCACTCTACAAAGGCTATTCAAAATGATGGTGCTTACTTTTAAAACCCTAAATACGTTAGGCAAAATCCACTGAAATAATCAAAATGAAGCTTTCTTCCCTGTGCCTCCTATAAGAGAATTTCATTTACCATTTCTTGAGGAGGGCCTTCATTATAGTGATAGCCCAATGTTATATTTAGTTTGAAGATTGTCAGTTATGTTTTATAGTTTAATTTTGATATATATGTCTTGAGGTCCTTTTTAGGATGAAAATGAGGTATTTACATTCTACGATGAACGAATAAATACAGCTTGATAAAATACAAAGCAAACAAACAATGGAATGGAAAAAAACACCTATTAATGGCATAGAAAGAAAACACAGATCCAATTCCTGATTAATTGTAGATAACCAGGAAAAAATATCACCTGCAAATTGTTGTTGGTACTTCAGTTAAGGCTCAGAGTGAAATCTCATAGAAGAACAGTCCAGCACGTCAAAACAATGAGATGGGGATTTCATTCAGACTAATTTTTAGACCATAGGAAACGTTGGTATTCAGATTTCCGATGTTAAATATTGTTACGTCTGTTGCTTTCAGTGCTTACAACATACATAATTTCCATGTGTTTAGTTACAAGAATTCTAAATTTTAGAAAAATGCAGAATCCATCACTGACATATGGACTATGCTCCATAAGAACACTCAATTTATACCAAAAAGAGTATGAATTTATTCAGTCTCTTTCATAAGTGAAGGTCAGGGGTACTTTCTTCTGAAGTTGGATATGCATGTTTTCTGAACGTTTTTAACAATTATCATGGTAGTATTTCTACTGGCTTCCAAAGACAAACACTTTATTTGCTCCATATCTCTTTGAGAAACAAGCACATCTAACTGAATTACAAAATAACTGTTCACAGAAACACAATGATCGTGCAATTACATTTACTTTTTTTCTGCTCAAAACTATTGACTATTACTATTAATGGGACAGAAAATCTTCAGTATTTATTATAGTGCTTAGATAATGTTTTATAATAGAAATGTGCTGTGTTAAAAACCCCAGTAAATCAATTTTCTATATGAAACAAGAAACTATATTGCATTGGTCTAAATAATTGTCTCTCTGAAAAGGAAACTCTCCTCTTAGTAAGATTTTTTTTAAAAAAATTGATGGCTAGCCAACCTATAATATTTGCAAGCAGATGTTGTACCAATGCTGCATTTTTAAAAGACTGAGAAGCTAGCAAAATTAACAGAGTAAAAGAAAATGTTAACACTACATCTATGGTAGTGTTAGGATGGATTTAAACACTGAATTTAGATGGATCACAGCTTCTTCTATAAGTATACAGACACAGGTTGTGATATAACCATGCAAGAAGAGAAAGCACAGTTGTATAATTTGTCAACAAGAACACGTCACTGAAAAGCTGTTTTAGTGAGAAAGTACTACAGACATATTACACAGCTGGAGATAGACCACTATATGCTAGGTGCTCTACTAGTTGAAGCTGGAAAAATATAAAGCAAACTTGATATTTGAAACACATCTTATTGAACCCTCACATCTATTTCACAGACCAGAGAAGTTCAAGGAATATTTCTTTTGTTCTATAAAACAAAGAGTATGTTTCTGTGGCACCAAAAAAACCCCCAATTCAAATAACATCTGCCACAAACATGTTGAAACCTATGTTAAAAAAGAGTTGTCAAACATTTATTACTGTATGATGTATTTTTCTACACTGCAGATAAAAAATGATAATATTCACACTATTTCTATAGCTTTTAAAATCACTCCTAATGGATTCCTTGGGAGGTACAGTAGGCAAAAGATCACCAGTAGGAAAAAAAATCCTTACAAGACGTCATCTATATTCAACTTACTAGGAATAGGTCTAAGGACGTCAGGAATGAGAATCTCCACCAAAGCCTGGTACATCACATGGTCACAGTTACACATCCATTTCAGAATTGACTCATTTTTGCACAGAGTTATCAGCTTTGCTTTCGGAAGTCGACTTTCTATTTCACTCAGATTGCTGGTGTGAACAAATGTATTCAATGAATAAATGAAAATGCATTTACATGAAGATAAAAAAGAACAATGGATTTCAAGGCTTTTACAAATAAAACATTAGAGATGTCTGAAACATATTCAATTGCCCTGAGGCATTTTGTGCTGTAATGGCTGATACATGGCCTCCATAGTTTTAACCAATGTGCACAATTTTATGCAGCAGTGATAAGAATGGGCTTTGAATTTGGTATTATTCCATGAAAAAATAACTGGGTCCTATTCACAGAAAATAAAATGATATGCATACAAATATATGCTGCAGTCATCATAATAAAATGAAATTTTATTTTAATAATTTAAAGCATAGCATTCCTTCTGATGTAAAAGGTAGATTTTATTTTATTTATTTATAAACCAAATACACAAGGTCTAATGTAAATACTAACCTTGGCTCAGTAATAGTAGTGCCATCAGTTGTTGTTGAGGGAGAATAGCGCCAGAAAGTCTGCCACAATTTTTCTATTAGGCTAAACTGAAGGTTCACTACAACATCCAATATTGCCTAAAAATCCAAAGCAAATACAGGTTTGTATTTTGACTTTATTTAATGATAAATACCATAGCTACAGACCTAAATGCACTCATAAGGAAATAAACCCCACCAAGCTCAACAGGACTAATTTCTGAGTAAAAATGTTTGCATTGCACAGTTCTGCAGTGGTTGGGTCTTTTGATTTGATCATTTTCATAAACAGATTTATTGCATGGCATTTACAAGAATTATCCTCATAATAATTTCTGATATGCAGAAAAAATAATTTATCCCACCTTACACAGAGGTTCAGTAAAAATACAGACAGTCAGTTACAATGGAAAGGCTGCCCTACATAAATTGAATGATATAATGTAAATAGTAATTCTAAAGGAACTCCATAATTATCAAGTTAGAAAGGAGACAATGTTAATTTCTGAGTTGACATTGTCCACATACGGAAGTAGATTGGATTCCTTGACAACAGAAGGTACCCTCCTCATAAAGTACAAAGTAATTATCAAATCTACCAGCTTCTAGAACAGGAGTGGGTAACCTGATGTTGTCCAGAACTTTTAGATAATTTCTCCAATCCTCTGACAGTAGCTCTGCTTGATAGGCTAATGTGAAAGTAAATCCTAAACAGCTGGTGGCACTGGGCTGCTCTCTCCCCACATTATAGAATGTAGGCAAGGTCTTCATCTGTTGGCTAGATAATTCATATTAAAAATAATAGCTTGATCCAATAATTATTTAATGCTCCAGATCTTTCAGCAGGGTTTGCGACAATTTTGTTTGCAACACTATTTTTTGTTTTATATCCAGGGTCTTCAATTTTTCCACTGCTATTCTTAACCTTAACTATGGTTGATCTTTACAATGGCAAAAACCTTAACATGATGCAAGGAAGACTTTAAACAGCAAAACCAGCTTTCCATTCTTTGGCTACCACCACAGCTTTTCAGACACACAATATCTGTTATGTGTAACATTGTTTCACTTGACAACATTCAAATTTTCAGACAATGGAGATATTTCCCTGTGTCACATCTGAACTCTGACTTTTATAAGAGGGACTCAAAGGTAGAATGCCTTGCTTTGTAAAATCTCTCTTCCTTACCTCACAGTGTTCTCGATAGAGACTCTGTAAAGACTTAATATCCTCAAAAGTAGTACCATCTGGCAGCGAAGAGATTTCAACTTCTCCAAACTCTGGAAGTGCTCGAGATGCATCTGTTTCCATGACAACCCAACAGAAGAAATATATTGTGGACTGTGTCAATCATAATGTAATTAAGAAAACAGTGAATAATATTAAGAAATAAATACCCCAAAGGTCAATGTATTGGATTCAAAACCAAAAGGATTAATATTTGGCAATATGTTTTATTATAATTTAATTTGTTTGCAATTTGAATCCACAGTCTATAATTCTAAATTAAATATTTTAAACAAAATAACCAAATCTGTTAAATGTTATGTGCCCCATTCACTGGAATAATAAAATAAATTTTGAAAGGGTCTGGTGATATAGGAAATACAGAGCTAGAATATCTCCAAAGAGGCAGATGTTTCTCCTAATATTCTACTCTGTTCTACCCTCTTATAACTTCAGTCCATTAGATCTAGTCCAGATTTATTGGGCAGTATAAAACAAGTTTCTGTCCTACTGTATATGTCAGCTTTCCAGGTATATGAACAGCGCTATCATGTACTCTTTTTCTTCCAGGTTAAAGATATGCAATTTTTTCCAACTTTCCTCATAGGATTATATTTTATATATCATTGCTCATCTTCAATGCCCTCATCTACACCCATTCTAATTTATTTATATCTATTTGAAAGTAAAGCTAGAAGTGAGTACATCACTTCAAATAAAGTCTAACCATTACGGAACAAAGCATAGCTTTGATTTCCCTTGAATTGGGAACTGCATTCTAAAATTCACACAGCTAAAATTGCATTTGCTTAATTACTTCTCAACTGAGATACAGAAACAATGTGTCTTAGAGTCACTAATTTTAATCCTTTTTGTCTCCTCTTTAGGCCTATTATCATATTTGCTTTAGTTAATGACTGCAATATAAATGGATTTGATTTGAATGCATCTTAAAAGGAGCACTTGGCCAAACTCAGTAGCAGACTTGGTTTGGTTGAATTCTCATATATTCAACTAAATTCTCTCTGGCCAGGGTTAATTTCTTCAGTGCTATTGCCCACAGTAACAGAAGTTCACTGAAATATTATATCTGTGGCATACCTAATTTTTCAGACTCTATGCCACTGAGGAAAACACTATTTATTTATTAAACTTGTCCCTGCCCATCTCCCCCCAATGGGGGACTCTGGGCAGCTTACAACATATTAAAACAATAAATAAATATACAGTTAAAATTTATAACAGGACATATTTACAAAGAATAAAAGGGAAAGGAAAAATACTTGAAAATATTGTCTATCAATACTTGAAACTATCAACACTTGAAAATATTGTCTCAAAGACAGGGAGCTTTAATTTCCTCAGGTAGTGCATCCTTGTTTGCACTCTTCTTGGCAATGGTATGGCATCTACTGACAGGACTACATTATCTCTCAATATGCCAACTTTGGCTGAGCCAAGGTATTCATTAATTATCTATTTCCCACTGCATCCTCTACATTTTATTAATGTATTTGAGTTGACTCTTAGACTATGAATTGCCCGAACTGAAGAGAATACACATCTCTAGCCTTGAATATTCCAGATGGTTTATGTGAAAATGGCATTACCATAGATCAGTAACTGAGCATGTGTGTGCGTGTCCACACGCATACGCACACAAACATATACAAGAGCTGTCAGTGATTAACAAGAATTGATTCAAAGAACAAATAATTCTAAAATAGTTCATGTTGCTAAAAGACAGCATTTGTGCAAAGGCAATATTTTAACAATAGCACTGAATATATCCTATCTACCCTTGTTTTGGTTTTTTAAGCTATATTCAGACCCTCAGATGTTGCTAAGCTACGGATTTTACAGTCCCAGCCAGCACAACCAGGAATGCCAGGATTATAGCTCAGCAACATCTCGAAGGCCCCAAATTCCCAGCATTGCTTTAAATCAACCTATTTCAGGGAGTAAAGTTATAGAACAGAAGAGTAAAGTGGCCTTAATTCTCCAGTTTAAAAAAAAAAAGTCAGAAAATCACTTGACAATGCACTTGACCATATAAACTGAATGAAACACTCAACACCTCTTTTGTTTTCAGGTTGGAACAATCCTATTAAATATTCTGGAATAGTCCTATTAATTACAATGGATTATTTTAGCCAAAGATTACCATGTTTTTTCACATACCTAAAAACTGTTGATGATGCTGACTTTGAGCAATCACAGTTTGTTCAACAGATGTGCCTGTCTGCTGACCACTTGTTGTAAAACCATCTGACACTCCATCCACTTTCTGCATAGGCTTGTACCTAAGGCAACATAGGCAAAACAGCATTTTACAAGATTACTATAGGTTTTTTTTTCAGCAAGATGATGTACCTTTACATTGTTTTCAGAAATGTTTGTGACAGAATCCATGAAATTATCAGTAAAAAGGTTTCTTCAGCTGTTCAACACAAATGTCCACATTTGCTTTTTTACTGGCACCACATGTAGAATGCATGTAGGCTGTAAGGTTACAGATAGTTTTGAATTCTTTTAACACTATACTGTAGCAAGTAAATGGATTACCGGATAATTACAGAATTGATTTAGCTATGATTTTCAGTGTGTGTTCAAACTGCGCATATCAATTCCCAGCATCCTCCAGCTATTTATTTAAAATGAACAGCTTACTATCCTGCATTATATGGTTTCTCTTAATTAACATAGTAGAACTAATCCAGAGGCTGACACCAGTGTGTCCCCAAAAAAAACTCTTGGCTTTCTCCCCAATTCTCCATTCATTTTCCACATGCTCCAAAGGAGAGAAATAACTGAGGAGAGAAACTCAGGACGAAAGCTTGTTGGATGGCCTACTGGCCTTGTCTTCCATTCCATTCCAGACTATCAAGCTCTGTATGCTCTAGACAAGTCCAGCAAAATCATATACTTCTCCCATTCCTTCTTGAGGCAGCAACCTCAGCCTTAGCTCCCTCCCAGTCAGAGTAGCATGCACATCTTTACAGCAAATACAAGTGTTACAATCATTGGAGTTAATCAGCTACTAGGCAAATAAGGTATATTTAAAGTTCCAGCTTCTATATTTTCCTAATTATTCCTTTAGCCTTTATCTTTTTAAAAGCGCAATGGTATTTACATACTTTCTTAAACCATTCTTGTCTACCTCTTGGAAGGGAAGGCACCTATTGCATATACTTCAAAAAACAGGAAGTAAACCACTTTATTTTGACTACACTTCCCCTCTTCTACACAATAAGGCAGAAGGTTGAGATTTTAAAGCTCCAACTTTTAAGAAAAGGTAGTAGAAAAGGAAATATTTCTCCTTCCTTCTTAGGTGGCAGAGGTATTGCCCAGTGAGAGTGGCCTTTGCATTGTTCCTAGTTATGCTTCTTTACTCAATTGGCTGGGCAATTTTGGTAGTCTAAGTGTTGAAAGTAGACACATGGATTAAATAAGCAGTGAGAGCTCAGTGAGTGTCTTTGGCAATTGCTGCTCTAGTGCCCTGGTTTTATTTCCCTTATTTAGGGAAATAAATGATCTGAGAGATCCCTGATCTCTCTATTCTATCACCTGCAACCTGCTAAGGCAACATTTTCCTCCAACATCACAGTATAGTTTTGTGGGCATTAGTAATGGGAAATCCAAGTAGGTAGCATACAAATGCAAGCAAATAAACAAATGCTGACAAAGGCAGAAATTTAATAGGTATAAAATGAATTTATAGCTCAGAGGAAGAAATCAGTGTATTTTAAAGGGTGTTCAAGAAAGCAACACATTTGTTTAACAGGAACAAAACCAATGTATTGTTATAAGCACTGTTTTAAATACAGTAGCTATGTTGAGAATAACCAAGTCTCTGTGATAACTATTCTATGAATAGTTAAAATGGTTCTCATTTCATGGCAGCTTCAACCTGACCTCAAAAACACAAATTGTACTCATTTCCCCAAGAGGTTGCCCTTTTTGGTTTAATTATTCTATTTGGTAACTCAAACCATGAGTTTAACAATAACAAATCAAAGTAACAACTGTTTTAAGGCTGCAATTATTTATCACAATAAAACAATTCCAGAATTTAAGGGAAAAATTAAGAAAGCGAGTTACAGTAGTACTGCAACCAAATTAATACTGTAGAGTTGTAGGCTAGAATTATCAATTCCCCCCATGCCTTTTATGTTAGTGAGTGTTCTGAAATTTGGAAAACTACAGCTATAAAATTGATGGTGATGTAGGAAGCAGGGGCTGAAATTTTGGACAAATGTTTAACTAAAGCACAAAACAGTAATCAATAACTCACTACATGCCTTATGTGTACAGACAGAATAAAGATATGAATCATTATAATATGTCTCACTGATAAACCACAAAAGACTGCCTGCTATTATCTACAGATGCCTTGAATTTAAGTGAATATTGGCTCAGACATACTGATTTATTGTTTCAATACTGTAGCTTCTGAACTACTAAAAGTGAAATATTTAAATAATAGAACGATTATGTGAATTGTTGCCTATGAGTTTTAATTTGCTATAACAATTTAAGATGTAGTTCTGGTAGTGGTATTCCAGAGGGGGGAAAAATAAAACAAAACAAAACCCCCACCCCCACCAACACTGGCAGGGCATGCCACTGCATATAAACAGAAAGCAAACCCCATTCCATTCTAGCACAGAAGATGTTACCTAGCCGGGTAACGAAAAGTTTGCAAGAAAACAACCAAGCTCAGAGAACCCAAGAATTCCACAGTTCAACCCTGAGCTATACATATTCGCTTCTATTGAACTTTAATTAAATGAGGAGAAAATCTTGCAGTCATAGTGGATAGCTCAATGCAAATGTCAGCTCAGTGTGTCGCAGCAATGAAAAAGGCAAATTCCATACTAAAAGTCATTTGGAAAGGGGTTGAAAATGCAACTGACAATATTGTAATGCTCATGTATAAATCTGTATCTGGAAAAAAGGGCAAGCAAAGTGATCAAGTGATTTCTTATCAGAAGAGCCTCTGGGATTCTTTAGCTTGGGGAAAAAAACTAGGGAGGACACGATTGGAAAGTATAAAATCATGCACGGCATAGAGCAGGGGTCCTCAAACTTTTTAAACAGGGGGCCAGTTCACGGTCCCTCAGAATGTTGGGGGGCTGGACTATAGTTTGAAAAAAACATTAGGGTCCCTCCCGCGGAGTATGAGAAGAGGAGAGCTGCCGGACCCGGCGTACCTGTCATGTAGAATAGTCCAGCTCTGCGATCTCCCTCCTCGTGCATCGCCTGCCGCTCCCGACACAC